GCTCTGATAGAGACGAAGTGAGGGAGACGAAGAAGAAACGACGGAGATGAACTTTCTGGTTGTGAGGGAGAGACCGGGATGAAGACTGGGATGGATAACGAGATAGTGAATGAGGGAGGGGAAGGACCGAGACAGGGAGGGAAAGGAGGGGAGRGCTGAGTTTGATTTCTTTTTTTAAATTGAGGGTAACTTGGTAATTTTACAAAGCAAAATAAGGGGAGGGGTCAGAAATCTGAGGTGGAGGGGTCATAAATAGGTAAAAATCAAAAGGGGGTCAAAAGTCCGAAGTGGTTATTGAAAGGGATCAAAAATCCCAATTTCCCGAATAAATAGTAGTGATATGGTAATCAACATTATTGATAATATTAGTATATTAATCAACAAATTGAAATGGTAAACTAGAATTTAAAGAGTTAACCACTAAAAATTAAACATTTGATATACCTTATATTTAGTATATCAGTTGCAAATATATTTAGTATTTCAGTTGGAAATCTATTTAGTATATCATAAATTATAGTTACATTTTATATATATATATATATATATATTATATGTATAATACGTACATTTGATGTATATCAGTAGTATATCTAATAATGTATATCATTGGGACATCTGATACTGTATATTATGGATACATCGAACGTATATCGAAAGTATGTCAGAATTATATCGGATATACATTAGATATAGATTGGATGTATATCATATACAAATTTACATCGGATGTAAATCAGATATAGATTTGATGTATGATATATAAATTGGATGTATATCAGATATAGATTTGATGTATATCATATATAAATTGGATGTATATCAGATATAGATATACATCAGATATATATCAGATATTATAAGGGTAAAATTGGAATAATAAAAATTCCGAAAATAAAAATTCAAATATTTTGCTATATTTGAAATTTTGAAAAGCTGGTGACATTTTTTTAAATACATAAAATATTTTTGCTACCCACTACAATTACCCAAGTAAATATAGATGGACGTAAAAACGATAGTATTTAGTAAAGTACTATCGTTTTTATAATATGTATATATGTTATATATATAAAAAAAAAGATTAACTAAAGATAAAATTTCCCCTAAGAGGCAAAGTTTTTGAAACTTGGTTGAACCGTTGTGTGCAAGAACACAATACAACCAATGAAACAAATTTTAATGTTTTAAGAGACAATTTCTCACCTTCTACTATTCTAAATAATCATATTTCAAATGTAAAGTAGATTTTTGAATCCCATATTGTTTTTCAACTATAATAATAAATCTCTAAACCTATTAATTTTTCTATCTGCAATTTTTCATCTTCTTCCTTAGGAAAAGTAGTAAACTCTATCACATATAGAGTTCTATCAATATTCATCCCCAATTATCTATGCATACCTATTAAAAAAAAACTCAAACAAACCACAAATATGTCAATTATATTTATAAATAAGTAATTGATGCATATCTAACTTAAGCATAGCTCAACTGATTAAGGTATATATCCTCGATTGAAAAGTCGTAGGTTTGAATCTTGACTCTCACATGTTGTTGAACTAAAAAAAAATAATCGATTCATATTTAATCCATCTAACAATCTAGACGAGTTGACCATGTAGCTATCCTTTTCATCATTCAAATCAATCTGAGATAATATACAACAATTATGAGATCAATAAACAGTCTCTAAATGCTACCATTATTTTCAAATCCCAAACAGCGAGGGTTAAAAATGGAAAAAGAATAAAAGTTTGCTTTCATCTCATCCAATTGAAGGAAAAAAGACAACTCTATCCAGACATATTTTAAAATGATTCAAAGTCAGTTCCTATAATTTCCCTTAAATAAAAAAAAACATTAAAATCCATTTTTGAAGCTTGAGTTGTCTAAATTCTAAAATGACGATGGGCCCAATTTCCAGCAGAACTAATCGGCCCATAAAGCCCATGAAAGCAAGCCCAACTGCCTCAAAAGGAGGAAGAAGACGACGACGCGCTGTCGACTATTATTACATTACATGAGGGACCCTCTTTCAAGTCTCAACTCAATAACTCACTTCCAATTCCAATTCCCAACTTCCATAACTGCTCCTCTCACAGAAACTCACATCCAATCCCTCTCTCACGAACGCACAACTGATCTTCGATGAAGTCACGGAAGCGAAGGCCGAAGCGGAAACCGCAACCGCAATGGCAATGGCAATCGCAGTGTCCTCCCAAGAAGAAGCTCCGTTCTCAGCTGCCTCGTCGGAAACGGACTCGGATTTCTCCTATTCTCTGCTCGCCGTCGTCGGATTCGGCTGCTCGCTGTAGGAGCTTTGGTTGCGTTTCTTCTTCCTTTCCTGCGGAGTCCAGTTCCGGTTCGTTCCACGGAGGAGGAGGAGGTGAGGTTTCTAGCCAACTCGACGCGGTTTTTCGATTGGAGCCTAATGCTGTGAGTGCGAGGTTGAATTTGAGGAAGAGGCGGTTCGGTTCTGTAGAATTGAATTTGGATGCAGCTTCCAATGGAGGAGCGGGAGGTTGCTTTAAGGAGGAGTGTGAGGTTAAGAAAGAGAGGAAGGAGGTTGGAGCGGGGAGTAATGTGGAAGTGTCTGAGTCGTCTTGTGTGGAGTCCAATTCTGGAGTTGATTTTGGTGTTCTCGGACGAAGTAGCTCAAAGTCGAAGAGTAAGAGTGATTCCAGGAGAAGTATTGGAGAAAATGAAGATCAAGCGGATAATGGAATTCTGAAGTTCGAAATGACTGATGCTGATGTCTCGTCGAAGCTCTGTGGAAAGGAAGCTGTTCCACTCACTCCTTGTTTAGAGTCTTGCGCTGAATCTGTCTTCGAAAGCGTCTGTTCGTTCGAAGAGAAAGGATTAGAGGTAGAGGAGAACAGAGTATGGGAATTTCAGTTACCTGAGATACCGAGAAATGGTATCGGCGAAATTTTCACTGTTTCGAGGTCGAACTCGACGATAGAACAGTGGCCTAACGGCTTGAAGTTTGAATCGGATCTTGCTTGCACGGAGCAATTCTCTTACGAGGATGTCTCGGAATACTCTAGCCAGGCGTTTTCCGAGCTTCAGTCAACTATGAATTCGGATACGGACTTCTCAGATTATACTCCTTCAATTTTCTTGGAAACCGGAAGCGAATTTTCAGAGAGATCGAACGAAGAGGAAGCTCCTTCATCAACATTTACCTTCTTGCTGCAGTACAGACGAGAGTTTCTAAGATTAACCGCCTCCCAAGACATTAGCACCACCTCGTCTATTGAAGAAGAGAATGTAGATCAATCTACGGTAAAAATTTTCATGCTTCCTTAGCGTTTCATCTTCAACAAACCTGCAGCTAATCAAACAACTTATATTTTTTTATTTAATTAATTTTAACTTAGATTTTGAGATTCGAAGAATTGGACGATGAAGAAAGCTATCAAATGCTCAGAAACAGAGAAAGACGGCAATTGATTATTGGCGACTATGTAGAGGAGTACCGCTCCACGACGGATTATGGCGATCTCATTCTCCAGCAACGGTCAAAAATGGTCCAATGGATAGTTGAAGTAAGTCCTTGATTTGAAACCAACGTGTTACTCTCAATTAATTCGGATGAGACATCGCACCGACAGTCGATTATCATCATTAATAGCTTGGTTATCTGAGACGTAGGAACTATACCACATTGTCATTTTTCAACGTGCACTGAATGACTAATTAATTATTACTATGGCATAAAATTAGTTCTCTGCCTCGTTTGATATGGAATTTAATCCATCAGTGTACTTTAAATGTGAAGTGTTCTCTGGAAAATTTTCGGTGGGTCTGACCAAAGAAAAATACGTTGAATTTGAAGTCCATGTTATCGGTTCTTCTATTTTACAATATTCACTGTTTACCATCTGATTGTTTATTATTATTCTTTTTTTATCTATGCAATTCCTATCACTCTCCCTCTTTAATTTAAATGTAGTTATAACAATATCCTGGTTAACAATACAGACTCAATACTGTGATACACTCCCCTACTTAAAGCTTGTAGCTCATGATTTCATTCATGTTAAATAGTTAAAAGCTTTCCAAGTTGTAAGAACTTTCTAACAAATGAGGCCTGCCACGCGCACAATGCATTTGGCATCTTGAATCAGTAAAGTCTAACAATCTGTCCTGTAACCATCCAACCATTTTTTCATTTCATTTTTGCTTCTGCTTAGCCACACTTTTATCTTAAGAATAATATAATACATATTCATAACAGCGAGACCTGTGTTCATGAGTACTGAGGTGGTTGGGACTTTCTTAGGATTCCAATGTAGTTTCATTTTCATCATTATCTCCAGTTTACAAAATACCTTCTTTAATTTATAATTTTGTAATCTTTTCGTAAGTAAAGTCTTATCATCAAGTTCATTATGTAACTTTATTTTGTTGAATGATGTAGCGATCAAAAGATACCAAACTTCATCAGGAGACAACATTTTTAGGAGTCGCACTCCTCGACCAGATTCTGAGCAAAGGATTTCTCAAGGCTGGAAGAAACCTTCAAATTTTGGGCATAGCATGTCTTACTTTGGCGGCTAGATTTGAAGAAAATCAGATATGCAGCAGGTGACTTTTTTTTTTCTTTCGTCTATTTGTGTGCATCTCAGTTTTTACATTTAACAATTGTGGTTCCTATCTACTATAACTTATATTTACCTTCATTAGTCTATATTTGATGAATATTGCTTGGGAAAAAGCTGTATGCTATTTGGTTTTCTTGCTCCAATCCAATTCCTTCTGATTATTGTGTCCAGTGACTAGTAGGTACCAACTCATTTGATCCTAACTCAAACTTATACTCAATTTTACACCGTTGGGGGTGAATAAAAGGGTGTAAAATTGAGTATAAATTCGCCGTGCCTCAAAGCTTCGCGTTCACATGAACCAAATAATACTGTCACATTGTGATTATATCATAGTTCCTCTTTAAGCCTGTTATGTAACAAATCATAGCCATAATAATGTCCATACACACCACCCGTATGGTACTGTAGTCAAATATTGCGACAATAATATCTTGCAGTGCTTAAGTTAACAACTCGTGCACAGAAGTGACCCGACCCACCAAGGAAAGATTTCATAGTGGACCACTTCAATCATATATGGTCAGATAATAAAATGATGATCCAATCGTCAATGCATCGAGGCTGTTATATAGAGCTCTTAAGTTGAGTCAAATGTAAATCAGTTTTGTAACTTTTTTTGTCAAACTTCCTTTTATTTGGTCTTCATTTATCTTTGTACTTGTACTTTACATGAACAAAGTTAAAAGCATCGTGTGTGTTCATTAAATGGAGCCTTGAGAATTCCAAGCTGGTGGGTCGAGCTCCGTGGATATATATTGAAAAAGATATGATATACTGATTGATTTTTTTTCGGAATTTCAGTTTGCGGCAAAGGAATTTCAATGTAGGGAGCAACACATATAGCAGATCTGAAGTTGTTGGTATGGAATGGCTTGTTGAAGAAGTCCTAAAGTTCCAATGTTTCCTGCCCACTGTTTGCAACTTCTTATGGTACATCCCTTGTCAAACTGTAAATAACATGCTTTATTATTTTCTCTTAATAATTTGGTGTTGGAAAATAATCATAGGTTCTACCTGAAAGCTGCTGGAGCTGACTCAGATTTGGAGAATCGAGCCAAGAACTTCGCATTGCTCGTTCTATCTGACCGAGTCCAATTTTGTTATTTTCCTTCAACTATTGCAGCTGCCCTTGTCATCCTGGCCTCCCTAGGAGAAAAACAAGATACACCACGCCAACGAGTAATCGAGGTAATTCTTTATCTATGTATTTACCCACAATGTATAATACAAATAGGTATCTTTAAATATAACAGAAAATTTAAAATTTTACAAGAACAGCTTAATCTGAGTTCAATCCAGATTATAATGGAAAGTACACTAATAAAACTCATATTCATACAATGTTTTGAAAATTGGTGATATTTAGTGAAATTTCTGTTCTTAATCTCCATGCATATTTCATTCTGTGCAACTTAATCTCTCTTAACTAACATCTGGTGCATTTGTTGGTTTCACAGACGCATGTCAGAACAGAAAACGATGATCTGCCCGAATGTATCGAGGTATGACCAGTCAACTAGATTAAAACTTAATTCCTGAATTCACTCTTAAAATCAACTTGAAGAAGTTACTGACATTGTACTAATTTTTACAGAGCTTGGAGTGGCTATTAAAGTTTTTATGATGCCTGACAGCAACAGCAAATAAATAATCTCTGTTGCGATTACAGTAGCAGTGAAGGTAACCCTTTCTCCCAAAAGCTAAGACATAAAATTCTGTGTTGTATAAAAAAAGAGATCATGGACTGTCAAAAATATCCTTAGGCCAAATAGTCCGATAATATTTTTCGAGTTTCTATACAAGGATGAGTCGAGTCTAAAGCAAATAGCATTTAATTTTCATCTACATGATTGAATAATTCATTAGTGTCGTTTATATTTAGTGTCAATTTACAAGTTGTATGTTGTTTGATAAACAAAATAGCCGTTTAATTTTTTCATCTACATGATAAGTTGATTGTTTGGTACCTCAGCTATGAAAACAGCGATTACAGTGAGATTTTTAATGCACCAAATCGATGTAAACTGTAAACCATGGAAGTCATTGCTCAGCTAACCTCTTCTATTTTTGCCATCTAATTACGTTTTGTGTTTATCTTTTCAGTTGGAAACGTCAGATTGTTGTTTTGATATCAATTCATTCTAATTAAAGCACCAAATTAAAAAAGAAAAAGAATAAAGTGATTCTAAATGGCAAAAAGAAACTGTAGAAATATATTTATAAGTTATAAATTACAAAAGTTAAATGAAACAGTATACAATCAAATATTGAAAAAGTAATATTTCTATAACATTTCAACGTCCACAACAAGAAGAGCTGTATAAAGAAGGGTAAACTCTGTAATTGGAGCACCTCTAGATGAAATTGTATCATACAGCAAATGAGGGGAAGCAATTTAATTCACAAGTGTGGGTTTCGTTTCATGCATATATGATTTCGGAATTTACTGTCTAGGTGAATTAACTGGAACTATAGCAGGCTCCCCCGGTAAAGGCTCGTCGAGATGGAGCTCGGCAAAGTCGTTAATGATCCCGGTTCTTTCGCGGTATATATTCTCCTTTTTCTCCTCCTCCGCTTTCTCGACTTTTGCCTTGGTCATCTGGGTCACTTCTTCAGCAGCTTTTGCGACTGCAGTTACAGCATTTGAAAACCATGATGCTCCAGTTAGCACATAATAGTTGCTCATGAGTGCGGTTCCTGCACTGCTTGCCTTCTGCTCGGCGACTGCGAGGGCAGTTTTCGTCTTCTCGGAAACCTGGAACATTTCGTCCATCTCCCTGACCTTTTCGTTTACCACTGCTGTTCCTGCAGTTATTTTCTCGGTTATGCCCATCTTGCGGTCGATGGAAGCAACAGTCGCAGAAGCATTCGATGTTAGGTGGAGTCGTTCATCGAGATCTTTTGCCTTATTGATAGCATCCTTCCCCAAGATGAAGCCCTTGGCAAGCATAGTACTTACCACATCTTCAGCCCGGTTCGGGGCAATCCCGGTAACAGTTTGCCTTTTATCCTTAAAAAATTTATTAACATTTAAGCAAAAGTAGGTAACTCAAAATACGTCTATCAGGGAAAAAGGTGAAAAACAAAAAACGCCCGCCTTCACTCGCACGTCGCTCTTTGTACAAACATCAACTACATACAAACAAATGACAAACAATAAAACAAAACAAAACAAAACACAAAGACAGCTACTCAAGTTCATATGCTTCCACTCCATTGAGGAGGAACAAACAAGTATTCAAAACTTCTTCAGACATCTGAAGCAAACGATCGAGCAAGGACTGAAACATGTGATTTCATTTGTGTGTGCAAAAGAATTCAAGGGACGACAGCGATACGCACATACAGGGGACATTCCATAGTCATATATACAAGGCAGAATATTACCATGATTGATGATAGAAATTCAGGTGGAAGATGGTAATTCTCAACCAGAGTAATTGTTACAGAGAGATCACCAATTTTTGCTCCCTGAGAGATGAGAGAGAGAAAGATTAACAAAAACAGGCATAATAATAACAATAATAAAGAGAGAAATGTAGGCAAAGGAACATTACTGTCAAAAGTATTGCAGTATCTGCCCCTTGGGAATCCTCATAAGTAACATAAGCAAGCTGAGTATTTTCAGTTTCTCTGTACCAAAAATTAAAAACAAAACCAAAAAAAAAAGTGATTCTTCTGCACGAATTTTCAAAATAAACCAACACTTGGAATTTTTATAATTACTAACCTCTGCATTTCAACATAAAGGATTTCACCAGAAAATGAGAAGAATTCTTCGATATCTCTCTCGGAAGTATCTTTTGAGATATTGCTAACCTTCACAGTTCTCATCTACATAGGGATTGGATCAAAACAAACAAAATTTGAAAATGGTAATGTTATTTCTTCACTTAAGTTTTAGAATCTAGTGCGAGTGATTTTCACTCCATTCAGTTCATCATTTAAAATAATTAAGAAATTAGAAATTGGGTTTTAGAGGTTGAGATTCAGAGAACTGATTTGAGAAGAAGGGAATCATTCGGGAGAGTCTCTTCCCATTTTTCTCTAGAGATTCCCTCAAGAAGCAAACAGAATTATAGGCATTCGTAGGAACCAAGGGAATTAGAAAGCAAATGTGGCATTACAATTACAATTAACAATTGGCGATGATGAATGCATCAGATTCAGATTCAGATTCAGATTCAGATCAGATCTGCGTGGAAACTCAAAGATTTGCAGAGGAAAAGGAGAAAAGGAAACTGACCGACATTTCTGAAAGGTGTGAGAAGCAGGAATCAGCGATGGCGGAAGATGAGAAGGAGCGGCGGCAATGGAGGAGGAGAAGAGAAGATTTTTGTGGAGAGTGGAAACAACAGATACGGTTGGTTGGTTTTGCTTTTGCTTTTGCTTTTTCATTGTTATTCACTACCAGCGTGGGACACTTCGTCTTTTGACTTTCCTTTGCTATCTCTTCTGTTTAAATACTATTTTTTAGGTTTTCTAAATCCTTTCCGTTCCGGATAAAATTTGTGTTATTTGTTTCGAAATTAGAACTAACATGGTCGTTTTTAAAAAATTTAGGTGATTAGGGAGTGGAAAAATTAAAAGGAATAAAAGTTGAAAATACACCCATCAAAATTAACGTTTTGATAATATAGATAACAAAATGAACATACGGGGATCAATAGAACTATATATATGAACTAATTAAAAACAATTGATTAAAAACAGAAAAAATAAACTTTGAAAATTATGTTTAGCTTAAATTAGAAATTTGGTAATGTAGTTTAGGAAATTTTTCAGTTTGCCTCCTTATGATTTCAAAAGTTCCAATTTAGTCCTTATGATTTCAAAAGTTCCGACTTCGTCTCTATGATTTAGTCAAATTTCACAAATTGTCCTTGTCGTTATTATATTGACAAATTTTTTTTTCAGTTAGTAGTTTTCTTTTTGGGTAACTTGACTATATAAAAGAGTAAAAACTAAAAGAAAATAGGTAGGTTTTTCAAGTGGGTAAAACATAATTTAGAGACATTTCTTTGTTCGTTAGATATGACCAAATGAAAACTAAGAACCAAACCACCATGACCAAATTGAAACTTTGAAAATTATATGGGTCAAAGAGTAAATTGAAACTCTTAAAATAATTGGGACAAATTTATAAGTTCACTTTATATTTATTCAGTCAACTCAAGGAGTTTATTACAAGGATCTTTCAACTTTATCTATAATAAATTTGTGTGGTTAATGCTCCTTCAAACAGTTGTATGCTTTTGTATTTAAAAAAGAAAAAGAAAAAGTTGTATGCTAAATGTAAATGGACTAAATGTGGGCATGTTAGCTCACCCGATTTTGTATATAGGTTATAATTTACTCAAAATAGTGACCATTCAACCAAGTTAGATTGGCTTGAAATATCAATCCTAATTTAATGGTATAGTTAAATCCAGCCACTAATATTCTTATCTAATAACTACCAGAGTTTAATTGCAACAATTTTATAATCTCGTGAGGTAATTCCTCAAATCGTAATTTAGTTGTGGTCTTGGTTTTTTTTCTCTTATTAAATTGATGGGCATGATGCCGACATGTGGAAAAAACACAGAGAAAAGAAAAGTCCGTTTGCATTAATGCATAAAGGTGAAATGATGGAGGGTCCAACAAAACAATTATGTCCAGCTTTTCAATATCATGACTAATAATTTCTTTCATTAAAAATAATCTGAGTTCGTCTACTAACGTTAAATAATTATTTATAAAAGAAATACAAAGAAAATATGTATTCTCGTAATATTAGAAATTTTCTGAATAGAGTCGAGATAACCAACCAATTGATTGGACAGAGATTGTGACAAAAAGAACCTCTAAATCTATGGAAGACTTGCAACAAAAAGAAAAGAGAGAGAGAGAGAGAGAGAGTGGAAAGCAAACTTTCCTGTAAACACATCAACAAACATTCTCATCAATAATAAGACCCATACCCACATGCTAAATGCAGTGATGAATATCTCCATATTTAACCAATAAATTAAAAAAAATAAAAAAAAATTCTTCAAAGTGAGTAAAAATTGTCTGTTTATGTCAGCTTTCTCCACCAAATAATCTTGTTAAAGCTGTTAAAGAAGTTTTAAAATTCATGTAGTTGAGATATTGTGGAAGTGAGTAGTAGTGGGGAGCATTTTGATCCAAAATTCAGACTTTTATATTGATGATTTCACTACTAGACATTTGTGTAATATGAGACGAGATAAATAAAAAGAGAAGCATACCATTTGAGAGCCAGAAGGGAGTTTAATCTTGCATATCTTATCAGAATGGAGATCTGTGAGGGATACCCTTCCTTCTGCGTTTCCTTGGTCTTGAAGATGAAGGGCTAGCTTTGATCTCTTCTATGGACTCTGCAATTGATATGGTTGATTCCAATTCGCTTGCATTTGTTTCTGGGCTGGTTCGCTCCTTGTACGATAAGTTACCGAAATCCAGGCTCGGAGATATGATGGTTCCAATGCTCTGGCCCTTAACCTTCACTGAGTTTACAGAAACCTGTTGTTTTTACAGCATTTGAAATGTTAACAATTAACAATCTGTGTGTGATGTGATAGAATAGAATTGCTTAGAATATGGTCTCTAGTCTTGAGCACTCTGCTGAGCAACAGAGTTGTGATATGATCCATATATTTTTGTACCTTACAAGCGACTGAACAGAAGCGATAAGGATCTTGAACATGTCTACCGCAGTCTTCACAAGAACCGCGGGACTTCGCCTTTGGTGATTTAGTGTCGACGGATTGACGGCGGGAGTTGAGATGAACAGATACTTCACCATTGACTTTATATGTCTGCAGAAGAATCAAGCAACGGGGGTTCCAAGTTAGAAGGAATAGAGATGGAATGCCATAGGAGAAAATAATAGTTAGCAGTATTACAAGTTTGGTTTGATTGTTTTCCAGATCCTATCCAATGTTTCAAAAGTGTTCTCAACAAGTGGAAACTAAAAGAAAGAAAGAGTTAATAAACAAACTTTATTCCCAAAACTAAAATTGGTATCAGAAAGGAGGTACTAACAAACTAACAAATTCAAAATCAAACTTCTGAGCTTTCCTCTAGAAATGGTAACTTCCATTTTGCTGATAAATTTGGCTAAAAAGATTCAAAAACTTGTATGTTAATTGTTAAGAATGAAAATCTCATCTCAAATCTCAATGATAGCACAAAGATTGAATTCAGGAACCTTTTCTATTAAAGACGATGGAATTGATTTCTTACAGAAGTTGTAACAAGGGAAAGAATGTATTATACATGAATCTCTGAACAGCGAAAGAATTTCTCCATGTCCTGAACGCGCACAACATCATGATAGACATATTTCCAGATATTCACCTGCCGATGAAGATCATGAACTCTACAATTCTTGCAGAAGCTAATACTACAATCAATGCAGAATTTATTTTTCTCATTTTTCCGTAGGGTGGGATGAAGATCGCAAGAAGTGAAGAATTTCGTATTCAAAAGTGTACCAATCCAGTCCGTTTCCATTTTCTTTACTAAAAAACTCGCATATTACCTACAAAACCAAACACATCCATCCACCGCATAAGATTCCTTCATCCAAACAATCGCACCTAATTCTTGAAAAACTGCAGAGAAATCCAAAATTGAACTACGAATTCCAATCAATGACCATTCAGTTAATGACTCAACTCCAGCAAAATCGAACTTGAATTCGAATCCACAATACAACATAACAATCAATCGCATAGGTATAGAGATTCAAAATTGAAGAACATTAGCAATCTCGGAAACTCAAAAGACACTAAAAAGTACACACACATCCACAAAATCGAGTGTTCAAGTGGATACAATACTCAAGCAACAACAAAAACTAGTTAAAAGAGTTCGAAAAGACATTCATCGAAAACTAACCAAATGCTCACAGAATCTTCCGATTGGAGACGGAACTGAAAGTCTGAAAAACCAGCACACCAGCGTCGTCAGGAATGCAGAGAAATCGGCGGATTGATTGGTTTAGGCTCTGCAAATGGAGGAAAAACGAAGAAGAAAATGAAGATTCGGGGTGAAAAATGGAAGAAAAAAATCTTTTACGAGTTCTGTATTCAGTTCTGTGTATGAATGGCTTTTTTTTCTTTTTTTTTTTTTTTTATGCACTCATTAGGCAGGAGGAGGTGGGCTACGATCGGCATGAAGGTGAAGGCATGCTGGCCGTTGGATCAAGGGCGCATCGGACGGCCATGGATGAACCCCTTTTTCTTTTTTCTTTTTTCTTTTTCTAATTTCAATGAGAATGTGAATGCAATCTTTTTGGTCGTGTGGGGCCGGAAAGTAAAGGTTCTTTTCGGGTGACACGTGGCTATTTACGACAGGCTGTGAGTTTTTGCCAGCCGAAAAATACCCGAGATTTTAGGACGTGGAATTTCCTTTGACTTCAGACCCCAATTTTGGCCGTTGGATTTTATTTCCTGTCTATTGAATTTGAAGTTAAAAGGAAAAAGAAAAAAAAGTTTAAATTACAAATTTGGTATGATTTGAGGTTAGTTTTAATTTCGTTGTTATCGATTAATTTGGGAAGTTCACGATATGTTTTTTCTCTTTTTTCGTTTCTTTTTTTATTAATCAAGAAAAATATAAGATAACCGCGGTGGATAACAAAAATATTTTATGGATTGCAAAAAATGTCAATAGCTTTTCAAAATTTCAAATATAGCAAAATATTTGAATTTTTATTTTCGAAATTTTAATTATTCCAATTTTACCCTTATGATATCTTATATATATTTGATATACATCCAATTTATATCTGATATACATTTGATGTATATCATATATCAAATCTATATCTAATATATATTTGATATAAATTTGTATATGATATAGATCCAATTTATATCTAACGTACATCCGATGTAACTCTAATATATTTTCGATATACCTTTAATGTACCCCTAATATACAGTATTAGATGTACCGTGATATACAATATCAGATATACCACTAATATACATCAAATGCACATATTATACATATAATATATATATCTGATGTACTTCTAATTTATGATATACTAAATATATTTCCAACTGATATAGTAAATATATTTGCAACTGATATACTAAATATAAGGTATATCAAATGTTTAATTTTTAGTAGTATATCAGTTGTTTAAATTATAGTCTATCATTTCAATTTGTTGATTAATATACTAATATTATCAATAACGTTGATTACTATAACATTACTTTTTATTCAATATTAATATTAATTAGATATTAAATATAAGGGATATCTAACTCTTTAAATTTATAAAGTATATCAAAATTTTAACTTGTATTTTTTTATTTTTTTATGTGCATGGTCCACATAAACCTTTTATATCATAACTTTATATTTCAAAAATAAAAAATAAACAATTTTGCACCATTTTTTTCATCTGAAAAAAAAAATATTGGATATAATAGTATGATATTCACACACATATATCATATTATATTAGTAGATATAATAATTATATCATAGGTATATAAGTGGTAATTCTGTATATTAAGTATATATCAAATATATATCAGTATTATATTAGTGGTAAATCATATAATTCTTATATCTAGTAGATACCATAGTTATATTAGTGGTATATCATTCGTATATTAATGGTAAATTAAAGACATCAAATATATATGTATCGTACCAACGTGGTAAATCAATGGTTATCATACGTATATCAGTGGTAAGACATGTTAGAAGTTGAGTAGATATCATGGTTATACCAGAAGTAAATCAATTATATATCATTATTATATCAGTAGTATATCAGATATATCTATCAGTTGTAAGATATATTATAAATATATTAAAGGGTGAATTTGTAATTTTATAATTGGACCTCCGTTTTTACGAAAAAAATGTTATATTTGAAAAACTAAATGTGATTGTTATTTTGCTTATTTTACCCTTTTTTTTTTGTCCGCATATTTACAAGCCCAAAAAATATATTTGTAACTGTTTAACCTTTCTTGTTCATATTTTTTATTAAAAAATATATATTTTGTTCCTTGTTTCTTATTTGATATTTGGTAAAAATTTGGATTAAAAAATGTAAAGGTTTTATACGAAGTTTACTTTCTTTCTTTTTCAAATTAAATATATTTTTTTATGTTATTTGTTTTTTATATTTACTGTACATTTTAAAAGTAAAAAAATGAGGAAATAATGTTTTTTTATGAGAAATAAAAACTTTATTTGATTGTTTCTAAAATAAAAATAAATAAATAAGAACAATAATGTTTATGTTTATAGACCATTAGAATTCGTTGGATAAATATCCAACGAATCTACACTTTTACACTTTCCATTGGTAACCAAAGTTTGGGTTTATTGTTTGATTTAGTTTTTATATTTTTTTAATATTTCAATTTAGTCACTTTAGTTTTAATTTATTCGTTATGATTTAAAAATTTTCTATTTCACAAATTATTTCTAAATATGTAATTTTGTACCATTGAAAAATTCACCTAGTTTAAACTCTAATATAGTCAACTAAGACAATTAATCAAATAGAAAGCGACAATATTTGTTACTATGTAAATAAAATGATTTAACTCAATTGATTAAGTTGCAAATTTGAATCTCCAATATATTTTTTTTACATCTTAAATGGAAATTAAAATAACAGTAAAAGTATATTGGGTTCATATATAGTAAAATTGGGAAAGACACCCATTATAGATTTGAATCATTGCTTCCTTATTTGTGAAATGGAAAAAAAAAAACAGAAACAATTATGTAAAACATTGCTTCGATGTTAATGTTCATTAACAAAAAAAAAAAAAAGAAAAGAAAAAACTTCCTTTTGTTATAAATATCAATATTTTTTTTCAATAAAAGAGTAACAATTTTTTGAAAATATAAATAGTAAATAATAGAGGAGTTTGTTTTACAAGTAATATAAAATTAACAATTTCTTTTAGTTAAAAATATATAAAAATAAAAGTACAATAAAGTAAATAACTATTTGTCCAAATATTTGAATCCAAGAACCTAGAGAGAGATAGAAGGCGTACACCACTGCACCTAACATTGAATTTAATAATTCTACACGATAAAAAGATCATACGTGACATCTTTAAATTAGGTAGGATGAATACAATTTTTTACTTCGACAAAAAACTACTTTATTTTTATAAATAGTTTAGATATATACCATTGTTTTGTAATTTCTTATTTAATTGACATTTTTTATTATTTGAAAATTACATTTATTTTTGTAACTGTATTATTTGTGAAATTAACGCCACAAGCTTCATTCCCACTCAAACGGTGAGATTCAAATCCCCACTACTGTCTATCTCACGCACTAATAAATAAATGTATTAATATCATACAACTTAAAATATTTATTTTATTTTAATATATATATAATTATTTAGTACTATTTTCTTTTATTAAAGTATGTGGTTAAACTTAATACTTTTAATTTATATTTTTTAATTAAATTATATAATTTTGTTTTTAAAATATCAAGATATCGAAAAACATCAAATAAATGTAGAAGAAATAATGATGGATGATTATTATCTTGTGCATGTTTTTTTAATAAGTTTCGTATTAAGTTAGTGGGATGTATAATTTATACAATTTTAATACCATTTAATGATTAAATTTTTAGCAATCATTTATTATATCTATAAAGATTTCATACCTTAGGTAACCATATCAATATTGTCAGATTTATTTTTTAAAAGTTACATCGTAGGAGTGAGATTCAAATTTACTATCTCTTTGATTGAAGATGGATGTCCTAATCAATTGGGTTAAAGCTCATGTGAATATATATTATTAGGATTTATGAGTACGATTGTTAAAAATATTAATTATATTATAATTAAGTTAGAATTAACGTCTCATTTATTCCTTCAACTATTT